AAATTTAAGCAAATAAGAATTTGTTCGAACAAAGAAAATTCATTCGAACAAGATTTGATTCGAATAAAGAATTTTTCGAATTATTGGAATGAAGAGTTATTCGAATGAAGAATTTTTCGAATAAATAAATAGAGTAATTTATGACGAATAATGAATATTCGACTAAACGAATTGATTCGGATAATTATCTTAGATAAATATTGATTTGTTTTAGAAAAAGATTAGTTGGAAAAATAATACTATTGGATAGGAATCGTCGTGTCTGACCGCGACTTACCAATTCTACTAGCTGTCATATTATAAGCCACGCAATCATGGCGGATCTTTAAACTCATTTCTCTCGAAAACGGAGACTTGAAAAAAGATGTTATTTTTTTCTTTCGATTTACTTTTGCATATAGGATAACCATCCAGTTGTATCACAATGTTTGGGACACCCTGTATATTTTCTGAAATTCGGAAAAATGTCCGCGCTGTTTCGCGAGCTGTTTTATACATATGTATATACCTATACACATATTTCTGTGGATGTAACATTAAAACACTGACGAAAATTACATAATATGGCTCACATATGACTTTCTTCTGTAAAACCAGCTGGCATTTTATTACTTACGCAAGAATACACTCAATTGGTGCTTATGAAATTGACAGTTGCAAATAGCGTACATGTTTTTTTCTGCATAATGTAGCTTTAATAAGTGGACAGCGGATTTTTATGCAAAATAAAAATAATCCGGATGAATTGTAAAATACAGGAACTACAGTCGGTGTAAGAAGTATTCGTACACTGTATTTTCGAATTTTGACAAAACATCGACATTTGAACTGTTATAATTTCGTAAAAGTGTGTCGTACAACAACAAGCATGGTCTCATTTTGAAGCTTGAAGCTTCTATTTACGCTATGCGTTGTTCATTTTCCCGTGACATGTTCTTGCATAATGTCACAGGTGAGAAACCGGAGACATACTCTTTCTGGCAAATGTTACGGATTCAAAGGTCTGTAAATAAATTGGACAATTGTTTTCATGACTGCTCCTAACGTATGTTTCAAGATTGAAGCCTTCCCTTTACAATGACACCTTAAACATTGACGTAAGAATTTTTTTTGGTCGCCCTATTGAATTCCAAATGAAAGGTGTGCTGCCTACTTTACAGTTATACAAGGTTCACGAGTGCTCTGCACGACCGAACTTGTTCCTCGTTTCTGTTTCATGAAACGACTAAAAGAAGTTATATAACAAGTTTCGAGAGGTCATTGTAAAGCGAATTGCACATGTTTAATTGTTTCATGAACGCATAAAATCCGCAGTTCAATTATTACAAAAAGCTACGAAATCTCCAATCAGTGAACACTTTTGAACTTGAGAAAATTTGTTGCCTAGAATAATTATTTAGGAAATGCGCAACTTGAATACGATTGAAATGCTTCAGAGCTTGTATGTTTATTCAAGCAACGATAATGTAGCGAGATACAACTGTTGCATAAAAAAAAACAAATTGTCACGGCACGATAATATTGAACCCAACTTTATGAATATTTCAAGAAGAGACTTATATAAGAATTACAAACAGTGTAAGAATGTTATTAAACTCTTCTCAAATCTTCACAAGTTTATATTTCAGCTCTATTCAATTTTGCCATAAATGCCTGAAATCCGCAGAGTCTAGTCGTCAAATTCGTATGCTGAAAAATAAATAACTACCTAAAAGATAGAGATTAAACCAGCAAACCATAGTATCGATTAAATACTGTAAACATGAAGGAAGATAAACTGTGACACAACGTTAATTACATTCGTCTTGTAATTACAATCGCCGCAAAATCGTCCCATTAGTTAGAGAACTGGCAGCGCGATCTCCATTTTCATAAGACACCCGGTGCGCGCGTACACACTTTTGCTCGTCACTGTACCTACATGAAATTCGCGGTCTCGTAAACGTTTTCAAAAACGTCTGCGCCCACCGGCGCGGTGTCAAACGAACGTAAACATGTAAATCAGCACTCAGCCTGTGGATTACATTTCCGGTCTTTGTTCAAAAGGCCTACGGAAGCTCGCTTGGAGAGAAAAATGGAGGACGAGATGCATTGCGGGCGTACTTGGTCGGAATGCTCGTGATTGTTTACAGTCTCATGTTCTTAACCTTCACGTATTTTTGAAGATCGTCGCGTTAGAGGGGCAGAGGCGGCGGGCCTCGGCCGCGCGACGGTCGATGGAAAAATAGATTTTCGAGGAAAGGTGGATTTGTTGCTGCGAAGTACGAAACCTGCTGCCACGTACAGTGACCGGCAGCATTTCTGCGAGATCATTTTATTGTGAACCTGGTTTAACCATCGCCAATTTCTACAGCATAATCTGTCCTTTGATATTAAATTGACGCGGTGCACAGCAGTCCGGAAACCGGTAATTTGTGGCCAAAAGTCAATCTTCCAAAAATTTCGTATCAAACAAAATTCTTTTTTCTTCGAATTGAGAACCTGTCGAAGCATCAGAAACCAAAATATGACTATTTTTAACGTCACAAAGAGAAGATCTTCAAATCTAAATTAAAATTAATTCTCTTTATTATTTAAAAATTGTTTAATTACAATAAGAAAAAAGTTCTTCACGTAATCGAAATTATTGCGAAGAAAATTTACATAATGAAAAAATATAAATCATCAATTTGTGTATAAAACTTTTCTTTTTATACATGTTTTTGATCCGGAGGTGCAGAAATTGCGACATGTACCCCATATGAGGCTGTGAATATTTTGGATTTCGGGAAACAAATTATTGTCTCTCAAACCACTGTGCACTGGTATGCGTACCTTAGGTTACGAATCGCTAGTTGAAACCTTTCCATAAGTGTATCATACACTTATAACGGAAATAAAGAATGCGCATGTCACGGAAAATAGTTGGAAACACTTTGCGACTGAACTCGTTCTCGTTAGGGAACTCCCGGGAATGCACTGAAAATCCTGATAAACGTGCGATGAAAAATGCACAAATATTCAAATGTTCGTTAGAGTCTGACTCATATTGTGCTCCCGCTTCGTAGTTCTCGTTCTCTTTATAATTGAAGTGTGTGAACGTTATATAACATCGATTCAATATCATATTTTCCTTTCAAACAAGCAGGTACCTCGATCATCTATGAACATAAATACCTGACAACTTACTTCAGAAAGATAATGACTGCTCGGCACGTGAAGCAGTTAGATCGCTGAAAGTGCCGGACGTGAAATTTGGACTCTGGTTGAAACTTGAAACCTAATTTTTATTGTACTATACATTGTATTATATTGTATTATATATTGTGTTATGTTATATCGATATTTTTATTATTTTTATTTCGACCTTGTAACCACATATGGTTACAAGGTCGAAATTGGGACTCTTTAATTAAAACTTAAATTTATTATACTATATATTATATTATATTGTATTATACTATATCACACTATGTTGTTTGGACTACAACCCCTTGCTATCTCTCCTTCTTGACTTATTTAAATGATTAGTAAGTTAAAAGTAATGTAACAACATTGTTGAATTTCCTTTAAATATCCTCTGCATCTATTTCTTTCTATTCTGCCAACTCAATTTTATCATGAATACAATTAGAATAATTTGTTCACTTAAATCCTCAAAAATGTTTGACACATAATAGTTCTTTCATATATGAAACGTTTAATAACCAAAATTTGCAACTTTCATTGTGAATGAATTATTTAACACGTCGAGTACCACCGCGCATATGATTGTCACGATTTTCTTGTCAAACTTGGAAATTGATATTCATTATAATCTATTAAGCAAGCCGAACTTCGTACGGATCTATAAGATATAAAAGGATTCCAAAGGCGATTGCTGTAACAAATTTGGTCCTCTTTACTCTTACATTATTAAAACAGTTGTTTCAATTTTCTGCGTCTTTTATGGACACTGATGTGACTGCAGAGTAGCGGCAGACAAAGCAGAAAGAAAGTAAACAACTCAGCCTTGATAATCACGGAAAAAGTTTTTTAAATGATCTTGGGAGATTGTAATTACAGTTCGCGCTAAGCTAGGTGCTTCATTCGATAGAAACTTTTTCTATTGTGCAATATCAGTTTTTATTGTAAATATCAGTTTATTGTGCTCTGTATGCGGTCGTGAAGAGTTATATGTGGACACCTTTTAAAAGGGAATAACTTTTCTAAAACTAGAGCAAACAAGTTGAGATATTAGAGCGACTCGTTTACTGCGCAATGTGTAAAAATATGTTTCCAAAAAATAGCAATTGGTGAGAATGGAAAGGTCACGTTGTTCAAACTTTTTGTCTGGTCAGATAACGGGAATTCAAGCAATGCGATATTTAGGTGTTACTGAGACCAAATAGATGAAAAAAGTTCACATAAACTTATGTCGGAAAATGTTTTATTGAACAGTAAGCTTTTAAAGATACTTATGATTTATTGTAGCAGTTATAAGAAATATTTGAAAATTCCTCCCACTGCAAAAATGCAGTTCACTCGTCGAATTAATGATTGTCGAACTCTTTCAAATATTCTACCTGTATTGGAAATAATATTAAATGCATTTTGAGTGCATTTCCAAAATTGTTCTACCGTTTCTATCGTATCTTTATAAACGAACGCATTAACTTTTTCTGTGGTATGAACGGAGAAATCGATCTGTGCAATTCAAAGTATACATTTCCGTTTGAAGACACGATGCAATTGTTAATTACATACGCACTGATGCACTTAAAAAAATCTGAGAACCTACAGATGCAGTGCTCTTTGAGCCATTTATCTTCCTCCTTCGGCATTTTTCAGTAAATGCATTTTATAACGGAGTTATAACGTGAGACAATTGCGCGTATATATAATTACTCTCTTAATGACTCTATACATATATTACTTATTACAATTATTATACTCTTCAAAGAACAATTTGATTTTGTTGTTCGATTAACCTCGGAAAGAACTGTGTAAATAAAGCTTCCGTTTCTCTTGTATTTTTGCAGATTCAACAGGACACCGTTGAATAGTAGTTAAAGCTATGGATGATGAAGTGATTGGGAATAATCAGAACAATAAAAGATCACCAATGACTCTAAACGTGAGCGGACTGTGGGACGTTGTTCCACGGTTGGACCATTATAGGTGCGTATGGAAATGATTCGCTTTAACTCTTTGGACTACAATTTCTTTCATAACTACGTTGAGAAGACTTTTGTTTATTGTTTGTTTTCATTTAGTCTCATTCCTCGATTTTGATTATACAAGAATCAAATTTTGTTTCAATTAAAATATTCATCACAAGTCTGACTCGTTGGTATAGTGCAAAGGGTTAATTTACTTTTGTATTACAGTTTGAGCTTTGTTGTTCTGTCATTCAAATATACCGTCATTTTAACTGCTTCGTTATATATTGTTTAATCAATATTTATTCAAGAATATTGTTTGTCAAAGTATAACACTAGAGTAATTTAGCAAGTTTAACACTTTAGTAATTTTTAAGTATATTTTCACAAATAGCTTTTCACATTCTGATGATCTACTTTGAGCAGTGGTCAGTGCTACTATAATATCGAAAACAATAAAAAATTATACACAAGTTAATTTGGACAAATATATTTCTGCATAATCGTAATCACTTTCATACCATGGAAGGTGCAATTAATTATTAAAAATCAGTCATCTAGTCTCTGTCAGAGTATATAATAACAATTTCTTTCTATATAATAATGCCAATAAAACAGCATTAATGCTTTAATTATTTTGTATATTTGTGTACTAGTTTTCTTGCAAAAACTTCACGAACACCCTGTAAAAGCAATATGTGAAAGACTATACAGAACTGCAGTAACTTGACACTTAACAAATATTAAATATTGCAATATTAATAAACAGTGATGTATACATATTTATTGTTTCAATGAAGTTGAATAAAACAAATTCTATAAAAGCTGCTTGCTATAAGAAGCCCGTACGAATAACAAATATATGTATAAACAAATACTTGAGACTTTCGCATAGCGATAACCATATTTTTGGCTATTATTACTCAATAAAGTTCAATCATAAAAGTATGAGAACGTCGATGAAACAAGAAAGTGTTCTTCGAAGAAAACAGCTAAAAAGTATCGTAACCCGGCGCACAAAAATAGATTCTCCCACACCCAAGATACATAGTGATATGTACATATTTCAGTCGATGATACAGGACAAAACTAGCACTTAGTCAGAAGACCGATCGCTTTGCATAAATTACGCTTGGAAACGATTGCAAAAAAATTCACAGATAATTCGTAAAGCATATAGACGTGCAACAAACGACCAACACTATTCTATTTACAAGGAAAAAGAGTCAAGCATGCCTAAGCTTTGTATACACAGACGAGAAGTCGAGTAGTTTCAACGAAGTACTATTGGGTTGTTCTGAAAGCAATTTCGTTTCTTTTTTTTCGTGCAAAAAAACAATTTTTCTATAATATACTTAAGGCGGTACTATTTTTCTACGTGTGTACACGGTTGTTTTCTTAACACAGTACTTTTTCGTACAGTTTTTTCGGAAACCGCATCGACCGTGTGAAAACAGAATTGGGCGTATCACGTAAAAATGTCATTGTTAGAATTTTTCGAATCTATGATACCGTATGGCTCCAATTGTTCTATTCATAAACCATGTAACGTGTGGATATTTGATTGTTACACTTGGAAACGCGTCCGGCACACTAGTGGATTGAAGGGGATCTGGTTGATCGATTAGGTGTACGGTTTCCGATATTTGTATATACTCTGAAAATTTCATCAGTCAAATTACATTCCTGCGATAGGCTCTATTGTAATTCACTCACGTATGTAATTGGCAATTAAGAGCGAAACGTTAGGACTCCAGAAGTGCTTGTCGGCTAATTCAATATTCTAACAAGGGTATTCCACGCACTCGCAAAAAATAATGCTTTCGGCGTTAACGAGCTTTTCTGGCACATTAATCGGCGTATTCCTAAGTGAATGAATTTTAGTCCCTCACCGACGCCATTCCATTAAGTAACGGGAACGTCTCTGTTCGCAGGCTAAGTCGGCGTGCTAAAAGACCATCCTTGAGCACCCTGCACGAAGGAAATCTTATAAAGGTAAGATTGCCACATCCAATCGACATTCGACGTAGCACCCACGTTACGATCTGCGTAGTGATATGCCATTCGGAATACGGTAGACCGTTAATTATCCGAACCTCGACTATCCGAATCGTCGATCGCCCGTATCAGTGTTGCATCGTCGCAAACTGGAGTATTCGTTCTAACGAACTGGTCAAAAGTCGATTAAACGCTAGAACTATCGACGATTCACGCTCACCTACTTCTACCGGAGGGGTGAAAATTATTTGCTTTTTTAAATTGTCAAGTGATTTAAGAAAAGACAGCGTTTTATACGTTTTTATACATTTCCCTATTTTATCAACGAAAATTGATTAGAAACTGAACAATAATAATAATAATTAGAGAAAAATTGGACTCTTTTTCTTTTTCTATGCAAACAGCATCGAAAACAGAAGAAAATACAAGCGTCACATGCTTTTATAAATAAGTGAAGATATTGTTACGGCCAAGTAATAATATGAAGAATGAAAACATTAAGCAAACGCGACGCATGTATTTTATGGTATTTTCTTGTAGAACGTGTATGTACGAAAACATACGTAATTTTCTAAAACTGTATTTGAACTGTGTTTGAATTTTTTCAATCAAAGAAAATCAAAATTACGTGAAAGTTATATTCTGTTTTATTGAGAGTATTTTGCAAACATTGTATTGACTGTTGGTCCGATTTCAGGTTTTCCGTTGATGTAAAACAAAAATGAGGAATCTTCGTATTTATTGTAATGACTACAGTCTGAATTAAAATTAGAATTAGTAGTAAGCCTTATGATTTACAAAATGGCAACATTTTCAATTGAAATTATCGATTTCTTAAATAGTTTTTCATTGCTAGCATCTTAAAAAATTAAGAAACAAGTGACAAATGTCGAACATTTCGTTTCCTGCTGTAATACGACATGAGAAGATGCTAAAAACACTCTAGCAATTTCAAGTCAATTAATCAACTAGAACCTGAGATATCGTGTCAACCGTTTCGAAAAATAGGATCTCGAGCGAAACGTGTTTCAAGTTTCTCTTGTCAGTTATATAGAAGTATGTATACATGCTTCAAACATTTATAACTTCGTTATTCTCGTGAATTCAAACGAATCGTTTCGAACGCATGTTCTAGAACGCCTATACTTTAAGACAATGTAAAGCGCAAAATATGGGAACGGTTCGTGAATTAATTACATCTATAGAAGTTACTGATAACCGAGCAGGAGTATTTAAAGGGATAATTACTCGATCATCAACATCGAGTAAACGAAATTGATTTATATTTCCAATATTTTTAGTTATTATAAAAATATTATGAATTATATAATAAAATCGAGCTATCACAAAAAGGAGGATCTTGGAATGATATTATTTTTCATGTTGCGATTTTTTACGCAAAGGAGAAAGTGGCGTCGATGTTTTTACAATACACAAAAAGTGAGGGACCTACATTCCGGATATAAATGTATGAAAATGATGATTAAAAGTACGGAATATTGCAACATCGAGCACACTAATTGCATACACGTATACATAGTATGGTACTATAGTGTGGTATCCTATGAGATGTGACGTTTATCGGTCACATGTCAAATTACCTGCTTTTCTCTAAGGACTTCTAATTGTAATTAACGTTTTACATTGCCTAGTGAATACAGTTTCATACGTTCCAGCAGACCTGTGCAAAACTTTTAAATGAATATTACGAATGTTATATATTATTTATCACTTTATTTTACACTTAATTGTTTCATAATTCATTTTAATCATGAATCATTTAATATTTTCTATTATTTTGTACTTATTTAGTGCAGTTCGAAACTTGTCAAACATTCGAGAGAATAATAATTTGAACAATAACGAAAAGTAACGAAAATCAACATTGTGACTTTTTTTACATATGCATATAACTGCAACAAATCGTATCTTTTGTTTACTTAAAATTAGAGAGAAATGTTTGCATTTTTCTAGATAAGCGAACAAAAATGAATTATTTACGATCAATGTAAATTTATTTAACTGTCTTCCATTAATATCGCAGTTTCTGCAATCTGCTATGGTGTGTTTAACACTCGTACAGCTGGGCTGGAATCCATTTAGACTCAGAATATAAATATTATTATTTGACTATTTATTTACTGACCATTAATTAAAATTTTTACGTCTCTAATTAATGTTTATATAATTTACGTAATTTATTAATGTGTCCGGAAGAAATACATTAAAAACTACGTTGAATAAATAAATAAAGTAATAAATTAACCTAAACATACTCTGTTACAATTTTTGTAAAAAAGTACTGCTATTCGAGTGGTAATGGCATTTGATGCTGCAAGAATTTTAAACTGCTATAATTCAAATATTTTTCATTACAAATATCACTGAAACAAACGAGAGGTTATTGTGGCCACGTTAAATGAAATGTGACGTGAGGAGCATTCTCGTTCGCTAAGGACGATCGAACTCATAACGAGAACATCGAGGGAGACAGTATATTAGGTTTGCGCAGCAGTAAATACCAGCTGTGAGGAAAATTAGAAAAAGTATCAATTTGGAAATCCTGTGTTCTAAAAGAAGGTTACCATAAAAACACGAAAAGATAGATTGTTTCGGAACATATGTTTCTACACCTGTAAAATGTACGGTCGTTTACTGAAATATTAACATCTAAAAAATAATTGGACTTCTTTTCTACCGCGGCGTGTTTTGAGCGTCAAGTGCTCGTCTCCTCGACTTGTATATACAGAAAAACATATACATAGAACACATGCCCATCCTGAGTTATATGATACGAAGAGTCTACATTTTAAAATCTCTCAAAATGGGTCACATGTCCTAATTGGACCGCGGATGCATTCATGGGAAAAATGTGTAGGTGAAACATAGAACAGTGAACAAAATTGAAAGAAACTAAAAATGTTGATATATTAACTACAATGTATTAAAATTATTTAATAGTCGTAATGTGTCAACCAAAATTTTATCGAAAAATATATCAAATTTAACGTAAATTTTCAATGTCGAAAATTGTTCGTTCTCCATATTTGAACCTTATTCTAGAACATTTTAAGTTTAATTTTAATACAATAACAATTTTATACGATTTTGATATTTCGCCGTCGCTTCGAAATTCGTAGGCTGTACTCGCCCTCTGATTGGTTACCGTATTTCGTAAATAACTCGTAAACAAATTAACAAGGACATTTTCATTGAGCAAAAATTGCCTTCAGATAACCTGAGGAATTATCCACTTCGTTCGACTCGCACATCTTTGGGACACCCTGTGTATCAAGGACGTTTTCATTTCAGGACTCCAATATAGAGGCTGGCCAAGTCGGGACGACGCAACAAGGACACACAGGAATAAAGCTAGGATGGATCCAGGGTGTTCTTATACCATGTCTGCTGAACATATGGGGTGTAATGCTTTTTCTGCGACTGTCCTGGGTGGTAGCGCAGGCCGGCATATTGCAAAGCGTTATTATTATCGGAATATCGGCGGCAGTTTGCGTCATCACGACGCTTAGCCTCAGCGCAATTAGCACTAATGGGGAAGTAAAGGGAGGTGTGTTACGGGATCCCCGTTTTCCCTTCCTATTTCTCTGACCAAGGAGTGGCAATGTGTATTTACTTTAACCATACTCTGAGAATTGTTTTTTTCCAAGAACCTCGTGACATCGTCTTTGGAAACGGAATTCTAATTGCAACAATGTTCATAAAAAGCTGGAAAATGATGACTCAGGGAAATTGTAACTCGTAGGGGAGACCGACGACGATTGTAACACTTCGAGTTTAGAACACGGTTACAGATAAATTATTGTGTTTACAACGACAATTATTGTATTATTCGGTTACAATGGTTTCGTTGTGCATCAAGGAATATCCAAGTTATTAATAAAATATGGGAAGCGGGTAAAAAATCCGATCCAGGGTCGGGGTCGGTTGTAACACAGAATGGCATTCTTTATGTGCCCATTTATGTGCCACAACATTGGACCCATTTTTCATTAAATGAATAAATAAATAAATTTGAAGATACAAAGAAACTTCATTAACAAAAATATTTTAATATAAAGAGGTCTATAATATGAGGGTAATAATTCTTGACTACTGGAAAATTTTGAAAGATTTCAACGTCATCTTCACTTTTTTAAATTGTATATAGAATTTTATATTTTTTTATACATTAGTTCAAGCAGTTAAACATTTTCTATCGCTTATTCATATTTCCAAGTAATAATGTTTAATAAGATATTTTCATCTGTTCCTAAAAATAACACATTGTCACGGTTTCGATTTTATTATTTGCAAAAGTTTTGTAATCTAGGAGACCAGGAGGAGTTGACTAATTTTTGACCTGCTCAATTTCTAGAAATTAACTGTTGGTATTTTATTAATATGATGTATAAAAAAGAGTCTGCACATTTAAATAACTATCGCTAAAATAGCTATAAAAATCGCTATAATATAAACTCCATCTATGAAATGAATTAATTTTTCTCTTAAATAGACGTTTCATTTTTTTAATGGTTTCTTTTCTTGATGCAATGCATTTTTTATGGGTGCGGTTGATGTACCATTGTCCTACCCTAACAAGGATTCAATATGATTATATTTACATCGACGCCAGAGCGTTGTTCATTATCCCTTAACTGATAACTCGAACACCAACATGGTATTTCTATCTTATTTTGTAATCGAAATTTAATTTTCCATGGTTTTGTAATTTTATACTGAGAAACAAAATAATAACTGTTTACAATGACTTTTCTAAATTGATTATAACTTGAATGAGGATCTAATACAAAATAAGGATGTTGCAAATCTATTGCACAAAATTAGGACTGCATCAACATTTTGTTTCTTCTCTTAATTACTTGAATAAATGTAAAAACGGTTTAAAAAATGTACAAAAGGTATAATCGCAATTCTTACATAGAAGATCATTTTGGTGCATTATACATGATAACACAAAATCAAAGTTTCTATATTTCCAGACCACGGACTTTTAAGAACGAATGTATAATTCGACAAATTACAGTACAGTAAATTATCTCCAATTGTCTCCCAGCTTGTAAACAAAAAAGAACAATTTGGGAAAAGGAGATACGATTATTCCCAAATTGTCCACTTTTATTTACAAACTGAGTTATATTTACTGTAGTAGGTTTCGAAAGAATAACGTTAGACGACAGTGAGAGAAAGAAACCACGAATTAATTGTCTGAACACGCACATTTCTTTCAAAATAAATCGCAAGACAAGAGGTTAATAAAAATTAGTCAACTACCCCGGTCTCCCCTAAACTTATTATTCAAGTTGGCTCAGTTCGTTAAGTTCAATGATGTATAAACCGTAAATATCTATAGGTGGTATATATTTCATCATATCACGCACCTTGGGAGCAGAATTCGGAGCCTCTGTCGGGATCGTTTTCGCGTTCGCGAATGCGGTCTCAGCTTCGATGAACACCATCGGTTTCTGTGATTCCTTGAACGATCTGCTAAAGGAAAACGGATTGAAAATCCTAGACAATGGAGTGAACGACGTCAGAATAGTGGGAGTACTCGCACTCATCGTTATGATCATGATTTGTGCGGTCGGCATGGAATGGGAATCGAAGGTACGTACCACTATTGTTTATTTCGTTTTAGACAATATCAGTCGGACGTATCAATGATCATAATGAATACTATGTTGCTTCTGTGTTGCGTCTAAAATACGAAATAAAAGAATAAAACAGAATCGAATAAGACATATTAAATATTTTTTATTCTTTTATCACGTTTATTCTTCTATTTCTTTTTTCTTATCGGAAGTCGAGAAAGACAGAGAAAAACAACTCGTCCGTTAAACAAAAATATATTTTTTTCATTAATAATTCTACTAAATTGAGAAGAACGTGGGAACACTTAGGGAACTGTTAGTTCCTCTGGTCGTTTTTATCGTGAATTTATAAAATCCGCAATCTAGTTATGACAAAATATCTGTAGAAACAAGTGGTGAGAACTTTGGTGAATAAAATTCTGCTTCAAAAAACTTCTAGTGTCTTCAAGTTTGTAACAATGAAATAAATTTACTATGTTTGTAATATACAGTTGTTATCCAAGGTGAGCATTAGGTTATCTAGCAAGAGTTGTCATGAAACGAAACCCACTTTTGTTAAGAAGTTAGTTACTGATAAACAATTTACGTAACACTCGGTAAAATGCACTTCCTATGTATCTAAAGACGCATGAATACGTAAATTGTACGTATTTATACATTTCACAACTTGAAAATGTGCAAACATGAAGAAATATAATATATACAACATAATATTANACTGATAACTCGAACACCAACATGGTATTTCTATCTTATTTTGTAATCGAAATTTAATTTTCCATGGTTTTGTAATTTTATACTGAGAAACAAAATAATAACTGTTTACAATGACTTTTCTAAATTGATTATAACTTGAATGAGGATCTAATACAAAATAAGGATGTTGCAAATCTATTGCACAAAATTAGGACTGCATCAACATTTTGTTTCTTCTCTTAATTACTTGAATAAATGTAAAAACGGTTTAAAAAATGTACAAAAGGTATAATCGCAATTCTTACATAGAAGATCATTTTGGTGCATTATACATGATAACACAAAATCAAAGTTTCTATATTTCCAGACCACGGACTTTTAAGAACGAATGTATAATTCGACAAATTACAGTACAGTAAATTATCTCCAATTGTCTCCCAGCTTGTAAACAAAAAAGAACAATTTGGGAAAAGGAGATACGATTATTCCCAAATTGTCCACTTTTATTTACAAACTGAGTTATATTTACTGTAGTAGGTTTCGAAAGAATAACGTTAGACGACAGTGAGAGAAAGAAACCACGAATTAATTGTCTGAACACGCACATTTCTTTCAAAATAAATCGCAAGACAAGAGGTTAATAAAAATTAGTCAACTACCCCGGTCTCCCCTAAACTTATTATTCAAGTTGGCTCAGTTCGTTAAGTTCAATGATGTATAAACCGTAAATATCTATAGGTGGTATATATTTCATCATATCACGCACCTTGGGAGCAGAATTCGGAGCCTCTGTCGGGATCGTTTTCGCGTTCGCGAATGCGGTCTCAGCTTCGATGAACACCATCGGTTTCTGTGATTCCTTGAACGATCTGCTAAAGGAAAACGGATTGAAAATCCTAGACAATGGAGTGAACGACGTCAGAATAGTGGGAGTACTCGCACTCATCGTTATGATCATGATTTGTGCGGTCGGCATGGAATGGGAATCGAAGGTACGTACCACTATTGTTTATTTCGTTTTAGACAATATCAGTCGGACGTATCAATGATCATAATGAATACTATGTTGCTTCTGTGTTGCGTCTAAAATACGAAATAAAAGAATAAAACAGAATCGAATAAGACATATTAAATATTTTTTATTCTTTTATCACGTTTATTCTTCTATTTCTTTTTTCTTATCGGAAGTCGAGAAAGACAGAGAAAAACAACTCGTCCGTTAAACAAAAATATATTTTTTTCATTAATAATTCTACTAAATTGAGAAGAACGTGGGAACACTTAGGGAACTGTTAGTTCCTCTGGTCGTTTTTATCGTGAATTTATAAAATCCGCAATCTAGTTATGACAAAATATCTGTAGAAACAAGTGGTGAGAACTTTGGTGAATAAAATTCTGCTTCAAAAAACTTCTAGTGTCTTCAAGTTTGTAACAATGAAATAAATTTACTATGTTTGTAATATACAGTTGTTATCCAAGGTGAGCATTAGGTTATCTAGCAAGAGTTGTCATGAAACGAAACCCACTTTTGTTAAGAAGTTAGTTACTGATAAACAATTTACGTAACACTCGGTAAAATGCACTTCCTATGTATCTAAAGACGCATGAATACGTAAATTGTACGTATTTATACATTTCACAACTTGAAAATGTGCAAACATGAAGAAATATAATATATACAACATAATATTAATATAAAACATCAAATATTATTAAAAGGACGTGCATTATTATTATTAAAAATACTAGAACAATCCTCGCGATTATGTGAAAATATGTTTAATTATCTTTTTCGCCTACCCGTCCAAAATGTGATAAAATTACCAAAATATGACTTTGTCATTCTGAATTATTGTATAATTAACTAGAATAGACCATAGGCACCTGTATAAATATTTTTTAGTCATAATTGATATTATCATGTTTATACATACACGCAAAATCTATAAATAAATAATTATCAAAATAACTATTCTCCTTAGTTTATTATTATACTGTATGTTCAGGGTGATTCACCTAAATGTACTTAACAGAATAAAATTAGGTGACTCGTTCTCTAACATGATTATGCTTACGTTTGTCTTTGCTCAATTTAAAATAATGAACATTGTATCTAGACTATTAATCGATTTTTGTGTGCTAATATGTTGGTTTTATTCCAGGCGCAAAATTTCCTCATAGCAATAATTGTTGCCGCCATTTTTGATTTTCTAATTGGTACGATTATGGGCCCATCCCGAATAGAACACAAAGCCCATGGGTTCCTTGGATTTTCTAGTAAGTGAAGTTTAAGTATTATTATATTATATATTATATTATAACAAAATTTCTGTTCAGAATGTTTAAGTTTGAATTGAAAGCGCACGCATAATCTCAAGGAGGAAATTCATTCGACAATTCATTCAAAATTAGTCTTCTCGGCATTATTTCGATTCTAGACAATAATATCCAGGAATATCGAATCGTAAATAATGCCACTTACTCGCAGAATTTCTAACACCATAATTCTTGCGGCTGTGAGACATTCACAAACTGGGCGCGGTCAAATTAAACTTTGACCATTTCTTTATTATCTTAAGTAATTTTCGCGTATGCCTTGACCTCGAACATAAATTTTTCAAACACAATTTCCTGCAAAGCAAGCATAATTTCATAGTCCAGCCAGTTAGAATTTATATCTCAGAAAAACGAAACTTGGTCTGTTGCATCTTTACGATTTATTCCTTGCAAATCTTCAACCTATCATAGTAATTCACTCACTGTGTAACTATGAATCTTAAAATTATTAGTCAATATTTGTTTATTTATAGACGTTCGTTGCATGAACGAAGATGCAAAGATTACAATAACTAATTATTAAGCCTTTGAACTCGGATGTTCTCTCTTAGAGGACGTAACTGTTGATAATCTATGGTGCTTTTAAAATTAACTATTCTTGTTGCATAAACAGTCTAATTATTTCCAATGTTCTGTCATTTTATATTTTCTTCAAAGCTGGCAATTATAAAATCTATATTAATACAAATATTATTTAATTTATTAAATATTATTTAAACAGTCTAATTATTTCCAACGTTGGCATCGGCAGCTGAAATCGAAATGATTCCGAATGTACTCGTATAAATATAATCTTATAAAATTACGTAAAAACAAATGCAGTCTAGAATTATTCGCATCATTATTCCAATAAAATATTCGACTGAAAAAAACTCGTTCGGATAATTATCTTAGATAAAAATTTCTTCGAAACAATTCGAATAATTCCCGACTCTGGTTTCAACTTATACCGCTACACCTTCTTGCGTCTAAAAGTTGCAATACTTGTTCTCAAACGGGTTTCAGGACCCTCTTCCAATATCTCTTACAGAGTCTGCTTCATAAAACCCTATATCTTCGTAAAAAATAATTGTTCGTGTAAAAAATGTTATGTAGTGCGAACGTATAACTAAAAATCTAACATACGCTTCATCATTAGCGTGTCCAATATCGAACTTATGCCAATTCTAGGTATACTTGCAACAAATGTTTTCGATGTATGAAGAAGACAGTGACCATATTGTTAACGTGATTTCCATTGTTAAGTCGTTGGACACTACATGAATTAATTTTTACATGAACCCTTAGCGCTCGAAAAATTTGTCCGACAAATTTTGGAAAATTCTGATTTAGCTACACAAAGTCGAATTGAAGTAAAAATCACTATATTACTGTGAAAAATTTGATAGCAATTAATAAATAAAAGATTCTGTTTTATAAGAATGACAAGCTTCGTTTCATTTTTGTTATTTTATTGCACAGCCCCAATTTGCGAAGTCCTTATTTATCTCAACTTTAGGGTTAATGGATCTATACACGGATATGTTTCCGAACCATTTGTATAATATTTTATAATTTATCCTACACTGTTCTCGTAATTTCTCAGCCGACGTGTTCATGAGCAACATGGGTCCGGATTATCGGTACTCCGAGAACAGCAACCAGACATTCTTCTCCGTGTTCGCCATTTTCTTCCCGTCGGTGACCGGAATCCAAGCAGGGGCTAACATTTCCGGCGACTTGAAGGACCCAGCCAGCAGTATACCGATCGGCACCCTTCTAGCTCTGCTAATCTCGATGCTGAGTTACCTGACTTTCGTCTTGTTCGCCGGTGGTGCGGCTGCGAGAGACGCCAGCGGACTCGTCTATGGGAATAACACAATCGGCAATTGCACTCCACAAGTAGATTGTTTCTACGGATTACACAACAGTTATTCGGTAACTATGACCTCAATTAATCAATGAATTGCTGCGTTCGAACTTGTTCAAAAGAACTGTTGTATCGGTGTCGATTCGGAAATAGTTAACACGTTCAGTGCCAAGCCGCTTTTGTTCGACTTTTGATATTTTGCTCGGCCATTTTGATGTTTTATCTAAAGATACATATATCGTATGTAATTATTAATTATTGTATTAAACAAGCTTATTTGCTTCGATCTGCACCGTATTTTTGTAACGTTTTATTCTTTTTATGGAAACGTATCATCAGTCTTTTCAGAGCATTAAGTCAGTACGTAGGATAATTGTGTCAATTATTGTGCCCCACCCCCTGATTACTATGCATTTACAGTAATTTTACTTATATCTAAAAACAACATAATTAAATTAAAGATATTGAATTTTTTCAATAAAATTCGATCTGCAATTTTCATAACCGAAACGAAACTTTAATTATTTACCACCTATAAAATGCGGGAAATAATTTTTTAAATTTTCGATAATGTATCTCACCTAATTCCAGCATCTAAAACATCTCGCTTGTTTTTTTTTGATAAACAAAATAACGGAGGAAAACATTGGTTGGTTCAGTGGGTCAAATCATAATAATTCAATATTATAAGAGCAAATAAATTCGATGACCTATAATGTTATGACCTCCGCGCAACCATCAGTAGAAAAAATCTGATCCTGTACGATTTATGATAACAGTAAAATCTCTCGAATAATTGGCATTATTGTGCCATTGTTTATTATAAAAAGAACAGAAATAGTTATGGGATTTCTGTAATATATTAGAAACGGTTGTATTAATAATGCTATAAAGTTTGTATATATATATATATCGCTTTACAAGCTATAGCAAAGAGAACTGAAATCTCGTTTCTCTTTAAAGGTAATGCAGCTTATGTCTGTTTGGGGCCCATTCATCTACGCCGGCTGTTTCGCTGCAACTCTGTCAACAGCTCTGACGAACTTGTTATCAGTGCCACGATTGATCCAGGCATTAGGCCAAGATCGTATTTATCCCGGATTAATATACTTCAGCAAAGGATATGGCAAACACGGGGAACCTTATCGTGGATACGTTCTGACATTCTTCGTTGCAGCATTGTTCCTCTTGATAGGTACAAGACATAACTGAATTTTTTGTTATGGTTGGCAGACATATTACTAAGTGAGAAATAGTAATAATAACAAATTTTACGTTCGACTATTGGACAAGAAATATATGAATTTGTTTGTCATAGTTGATAGACATCCAATGGCTAACAAATGAAAAATAGTAGTTACTAGAAATTTTACATTCGAAGAATATACAACACGAAATATGTGAATTTGTTATCATAATTGGCAGACGTGCTAATAAGTGAGAAATTTTAATAATAACAGATTTGATTTCTGACGAAGAAATGTCTGAATTTTTTGTTTGTCATAATTGGTAGACATTCAATGAGTAGTTATTAGAAATTTTACGTTCGGAGACTATACACGAAATATCTGAATTTGTTGGTGTAGTTGGTAGACAGACATTCGATGACTAACAAATTTAAAATTATAATGATAAGGAAGACGTTTGACAACTACACAAGACATTTCTGAATTTGTCAACATACGGCTAACAAATGAGAAACGTTAGTAATACAAAAGTGGACGTTTAACAATGCATTTGCGGATACTTATCCTCTACTTCATGTTCGCAAGCTTAAATTTAAATACAACTATACGTACACATACATATATGAAAAAAATTACATTTTTTCATAAAATTGTTTTTATCGATAAAAGCGAAACAAGTCTAAACTAATCTACACTTATGATTTCGTATCAGCATTACAAAAAACTCGAAATTCATCCAGTAATGTTGTAAATATTATGCCTGTATTTTATGACATTATAATGTAATTATTGTATCTACCGTTTCTATTTTCAGCTAACTTGAATGCGGTAGCGCCGTTGATCTCAAACTTCTATTTGGCATCGTATGCCTTAATCAATTTCTGCACCTTTCACGCAGCACTAGTCCGACCGATTGGATGGCGTCCTACCTTTAGGGTAAGAAAAATGTTACAAACATTTATGATTATTGAGATCATAAAGAGGCTTTTGCGTGAAATTATTTCATATATTATTAAATTTTCTAAAATAAAACTTCACTATCCATCTCTTATTCAAAATTTTTTCGAAATGTTTAATTTATTATGTAATTTTCTGTATAATAACTTATATTTATATACTATAAGGATATTATATAAATATCTACTAATTAATCAATTTATTAATGAACTAAATGTGATGTAATTTTAAACAAAAGTTTCACATAAACTTATGTCCGAAAATACTTTATTGAAAAGGTATGAGTTTTTAACGATATTGATGATTTATTGTAGCAATTATATGAAATGTTCAAAAATTCCTCCCACTGCAAGAATGCAGGCTTTCATTCAACGAATTAGTGATTGTCGAACTCCTTCAAATGTTCCATTTGTAATGGAAATAATAGTGAGTGCATTTTTAGTACATCCCCAAAATTTATCTACTGTTTCTCTATCGTATTTTTATAAACCAACGCTTATAGAAATTTCGATAAAGCATTTTCGGGCACAAATTTATCTGAACATTTTCCATGTATTTTATCTTGGTAACACATAGTATAAATTTTTAAATGACGAAATGACCTGAATTTTTTTGAGATGACGGTCCGTCTAATTTATTTGAGAATGAATGATTACAGCTTTTTTATCCGAACCTGGAACGAAAGTTTAAAAAATGCGTTTTGTAGATCTCGATAGCTTATATGCATACTGAAAATTTTATCGAAATCGATTAACTCAATGTCAAACTACAAACATTCAAAGATGTAAAAATTTCGAAAAGAATTGTCAATATGCATATAAGTTGCCGACACCTGCAAAACACACTTTTTAAGTTGTCGTTCCAGGCTCAGATAGGAAAGTTAAAAAACGCGAGTTTCTTTGTTTCATTCCTAGCAGCAGTAATTTTTAAGAAAAATTTTGTAATCATTGTCTAGTAACATTGTCTTTAACATCTCAAAAAACACAAATCACTTTGTCAAGATTATATACCAAATCAAATTCTTACATACCAAGAACACATAAAAATCTGGATCCTATTACCAAGCGGTGAACATAACTAAGGCAATTTGATTCACGTTACAGTATTACAACACCTGGCTGTCCTTGTTCGGCTTTATCACTTGCGTTTCCATAATGTTCTTAATCGACTGGGTGACATCGCTCGTTACCTTCGTGATTATCTTCGCCCTGTATTTAATAGTCGTTTACCGGAAACCAGACGTGAATTGGGGCAGCAGCACGCAAGCGCAGACATACAAAACTGCTCTCACCATCGTATATCGGTAAGAATGTTGCACATTCTCGTTTTTCATACAACAACAAAGTACCTCGTGTTAATTTCATATATTTACGCTGAATTTCTTAACCATCGCTCGAGCAAACCGGGTCATTTTTTACCCATGTTTTAGTGGTAACGTTACGATTCAGTGTACCGGTTACACTTGGTGATACTAATATGAGTCAAACGTGACCCGGAACGGCGAATTGGCGATAGGAAAATTAATAATATAGAGGCTGTTCATTTTATCTTGCTCATTGAAACACCTTCGTTATTTTTACTGATATAAGAAAATGTGTGAAAACAACTTTCTTTAGTTCAAAACTAAGAATATTATGATTTATGTTCTTTTTCTCTCAAGGTCGTGTTTTTTTCAGGTATTAAAGGTTATCGCTAGTTTTTGCACATTGACCACTGTTTTTAATAACGTAGCACTGTGATGCACATCAAAACAAATTCGACGACCTCTGACACTATGACCTTTAAATTGAAAAAAATTTTTTAATGACCTTGACATAATCTTTAAATAATAGGGGTCATTGTTTGGCTAATAAATAAGAAAAATGTTTGAAAATATCTGAATCGTTTAATATAAATTTTACGTTTAATAACAAATAGAAGTAATAATAACAAATTCGACGTCTGACGAGCGGACAAGAAATAACTGATATTTTTGTCACAATTGGTAGGCAATGTTAATGTTTAGAAAACAGCGATGACCCACAATACTTGGAAAAAAATGAAAAAAATTTTATTCGGATAAATTGCTATCTACGTAAATTATTATTCGATTAAATATTTGTTCGATAGCGTTGAATAAAATTTTATTCTGATATATTTTTCATCCAGATAATTTTCAACTAAATAAATTTTTATTCGATTGAATATTTATTCGACAGTGTCGAATAAAATGTTATTCTTTAGGCTTCATCTTTTATCCGGCATCCGAATAAAATGTTGCCCCACTCCGCTGTATAGATACGATTGATTCGAAATTTTTCAGATTGAACTCCATCGACGAGCACGTGAAGAATTACGCACCTCAAATTTTGGCGCTATCTGGTCCACCTGGCGCCAGGCCAGCGTTACTGCATCTGGCCAATCTCATTACGAAAAACCATTCCCTGTTGATTTGTGGAGAAGTATATCCGGTATGTAACGTAACTAAACATGATTTTTTTCTCGCGTGGCCTTCAATCCTGCCGAATCCGCGTAACGTTTCTATATTTATACAGAGCATTCTGAAGGCTCTGTTGAAAAATTTGCAGGCGTATTTCACGTCACAGAATTAAAAAAAGAAAAATCCCAGCGAACACTATTTTATGCTTCCGCACCATTCAGGTGTCATGATTCAAATATGGTTCGCGGCAATCGTAACGCTAAAACTATTTGTTGTCAATCATAAAATGCCAGTGTCTTTCTTCAGCACTGAATCTATCAAACACCAAACGTGATTGACGTACATTGCTTTATAATAGGAATAAGAAGACTGCATTTATATTTAGACTTGACACCATTTTTATTATAATTAGACTGCGGATCTTTGGGCAAAATAAAAATAGTTTGCAACAGTTGCAACACGTAGGGACAAGCACAAATTTTCTTCCGTCTTTAACAATTTTAATAAGTCCGAATATTAATTGATGTACTAACTTCAACGTTTTAAGTTATACTCATTTTGCCATAAATGCATCAAAACCGCAGTCTAATTATACTGTATGCTCGAAGTAAGAAATTCATTCAATTACTTCCTACGAAACAGTCCCTATAATTTCAACAATTTTAAAATTCGAAATGCAGGTATTTATTTACTCTAGCCTAAAGAGCTTAGGGCACATAACTTAATCGAGAGTATCTTATAATTTCAGAGATATTTAAAATTTGGTTGTTGATTCTACAGTTCCTAACAAGTTACAAAAATATTACATAAAAATTATGAAGTGAATATTATTAATAACAACGTTGCACTAAATATTTTTAAAAATTGATATGAAAATATCAAATCAATTTGACCCATGCATATTTATTACAAAATTGATTATAAATTATTTTTTTGATCTGCATAGTTTATTAAAATTTGCTAAAATTAGCATATATACATTGTTAGCCAATAATAGCATTGCATTAAATATTTTTAAAAATCGATGTGAAGATATCAGATCAATTTGACTCATACGTTTTTATTAAAAAATGGATTATAAATTACATTGTTTGTGTCTACAAAGACTATTAAAATTTACTATACATTTGTGGATATGAAAAAGTTTCAGTTCATTCTGTGTAAGACAGAGCCAATTCACATAAAAGGATTAATCATAAATTAAAAGTGTTGTTTTCAAATTAGAGAGATCCCCATTATTGCTCGTTTATTGAACTTATTAACATATTTCTAGACGAATCTCGCGTACCGACTGCGTTCGGTTCGAATGAGAAATGGCTATGCATGGTTGCACCGACACCGCATAAAGTCGTTTTATCACATGGTGGAGGAATTAAGTTTCGAACGAGGTGCTTCGGCTTTGATGCAAGTAACAGGCGTTGGAAAATTAGCGCCAAACGTTGTTTTAATGGGCTATAAAACGCATTGGGCAACTTGCAACCACAAAGAGCTTCAGGAATACTTCAACGTTCTTCAGTAAGAACACAAAAATTCTTACTCAAATTATATTTCTCGAATTTTTTATATGAAAACTTCCTTCCATAAAACACTAATACAGCGACAATAATTCTCAAAAATCTTTTGTTTCTAATTGATCGCTTGTTAATGAACATTAGTATCATCCTTCACCTTTTGTCCTTTAACCCTTTACGCTCCAAAATATTTTGCTTCCAAAGACGAAAGATAAGCAAAGATTATTTATTATCTGTCTTTCTCTAAATTCCAAATAAAAGATAACATTTCATTCTGAAATAAGAATTGATAAATAAATTATTTATGGAATTATTTAAAGGATTTTTTAATTATATAAAAGAATTAATTACGATTTTCAAATAAAATTTCACCAAATCTGACTACGTATTCCAATAATAGTTTGTCTCGCACAGTTTTGGAAATATCTTGTTAGTTAAAAACGATTTATTAATCAATTCAGCCAACATGAAACAAAAGTCAATTGGAAATGATCGATATGAAATAGAAAATTAATTGCTAATGAGTTATAATTTCTCGTGCATCATAACAATGAGATTATATTCTTTCTGCAGCAACGCATTCGACCAAAAATTAGCCGTGGCTATGCTCCGGATAGCCGAAGGCTTGGATTGTTCCGAAGTGGTCACTGCAAATGGCGACGAAGAACATGGTGCTCTGGCACAAAGTAGCTATGACTTGACCGGAAGTACTCTAATGCACGTGGACAGCAACTTATCCATGTCCACTGAAATCCCGAGAGTTCAAAGTGTGCCTACAATGGGTAATTATAATTAAAATTATTTTGTATTTCTTATCTTAGTATTCAGGGTGTCACAAAATTATACACATACAGTGCTGTGAAGTAACTTTTTCATTTTTAGTAATATTTAAATTAAAACTATACAAAATATCATATTTGTATATTTCTGTTTTCTGATATTTCTAATATTAACGAAACACCGTATTTGTATATTTCTATATTAGAAATAATAGAAAATAGAAAATATATCTTTATATTTCTATTTTCTATTATTACTAATATTAATAAAATATCATATTTGTGTATTTCTATTTTCTATTATTTCTAATATTAACAGAATATCATATTTGTATATCTCTATATTAAAAATAACAGAAGATAGTAATATTTAAATATAGTATTCTGTTAAGTTTTCAATTTAGATATCAATAACAATGTAAAAGTTACTTTGAGTCTATAATTATGCACACTACTGTAATAACGGGGCATAATCTCTAAGTCTAGTCCAAAGTTATTTATGTTATTAATTATCAAATTTGCTTCCTGAAATTCTATATCTAAAAATTGAGAAATGTATTAATTAATTACATGAATAATGCTATACTTTATTCACATATAGTAGCATATGTTATACTTTGTTCAACGAAGACACAAATAATATAATTTCTTGGTTTCTGGTTAGAACCTTTTACGTTTTAAACGAACGGTGAACACAATCAAATAAAAGTTCTGTAAAGTACGAATCACTTTTCAGGAACTCAGTTCGTGCCGGTCGATGGACCACAAATGATTCGAGATTCACCGACACATGGTAGTGCACGGGACCACCTTAAGCACAAGAGGAAACATGCAATCGACAAGTTAATGTAAGAGAACTAATACTGATATATTTATACATTCGCTGATTGAATGAAATTGATTGAATGAATGAAAACATTCATTCGTATTTCGCAAAGAAACACGTGTAAATATCACGATGTGTGTGTTACATAATCTCATCAAATTACTAAAAGATCTTTATGCGAAATAAACATTTTCTATGCAAACTGCAAAAGACGAAAGCCAAATAGATATTTTATCCTTTCTTTGATCATTTAAAGACAAATTGAGAATATATGCTAATAATCTTATAATATTGTTATAAATGCACCATATTATCTACCTATGACTAAACTGTGGATTTATGCATTTATGGCAAGGATGTATAGGCGACATAAAAGACTTTGAAGTCACTGACAAAATTTAAAGACATGATTCCACTGTTTTTGACTTAAATTATTAAAAGAGAAAATACATCTTTATTTAATTTCTGCTTCTTACAATTATCTCATAAATATCCACAAATTTAGTGATTAGTGTTTTGTAATGTATTATATAATATATTCTGTTTACAATATCTTTTGCAACTTTGGGCGAAGAAGGAATTATTTTAAATTTTCTACTTTACAACAATGGTAGTGCAACAAAGCTATAAGATAGCTTCTATTTACTTACAATTAGTCAATAAAACCAAAAGACGTTAATAAGCAAATCAAATGATTTCGATTATAAAATGAAATATTAGGAATACTGTTCCATTCTTTTTTTGTCTTTTCGGTAATTTCAGTATTCAATGCATAATAAAATGTTCAGCATAAAAAGAATGTGTGATAGTCAAGTAATGTTAACTAAAATTTTGCAAGGAAAAGATTTCGTACGAAGTAATTACTTAAAAAGCAAAACTAAATTAATGAACAAAATGTCACCGTGTATTATATCCAAGTGTTACAACGTGGAAGAAAAAACGAGGCACCTTGCGAATACCTAAATTTAAACCTCAAAGAAAGACAATTTACGAGAGCAGCTGGAATTCATGAAAATGTAAGAAACGTCCAACGAATTATAAAAAGAATAGAGCCTTACAAACGATAACGATTTTTTAAAAAGCCGCGTGACAAAGAAAAATATGCTAAAATGTGTTGTCAAACAAAAAGACTAATACAAATGGCACAAGAAGATAATATTTGCAATTGAAAGAATGCCTCATTTTCAATGACTTCAATAGATTTTAACACGGGAGCTTCTAAAAGAAACAAACGACCCATTTTAGAATTCTAGTTTTACGATTATATATATCGAAGACAGAAAATTGATTCAGTATATTGACTCATTTATAATGAATGAATAACAGTCATTTAAAATCTTAGTACATGCATTCTTATAATTCATATAATAAAGTCTAATCAAAAGAAAAATCTTGATCACTTTGATCGTTTGGTATTTCGGTTGTAATATATTTGATCTAATATGAAAATCGGATTATTCGAAGAGAAATTAAATGAATATTTTATTAATCAAAATATTTTTGCAAACTTTTTGCTATTATGATTTCAATAAAAAAGAAATACCTCTTTCAAAAAAGTCGCACATTTCATATCACGCAACCCAATAATATTGCTTTCGCGATTTGAGGAAATAATTAAGAAATTATAATAT